TCGAATTTTCTCGTTTATACAATAAATAGGACCATGAGGATCCGATGTCGCTTTAATTATTTTTGATGTTAATGAGAGGTTGGCGATGGAGAGCGCGGCATTTTAATGAGCGGAATCATTTATGAAATTAACAGCTAGGATAATTATTGTATTGTTTGCTAGTGAAATTTTAAGTCTTCGCTGCTGAACGTAGCGGTTTGAATTTCACGTTGCTTTTAAATTTCGTTTCCGCAATTTGTACGGTGTTCCGACAAACAGAGTTGTTTGCGAAGCTATCGTTTCGCTTCTTTTAAATTGTATAAGTACATTTTGATAACTGGTCTCGTTGGCAAACGTTCGCGCAGCGTGCAGTTAACAATAATTCCAGGATCCATTTGTTTTTCCACTAAATTTCCACGCTACCATTTGAAGTTCGCGTCACGAATATACGTTACGGTCTCTAACGACACATCTGGGTCGAAAAGGAACGCAATTCGAGCACGAGTTTTGAGTTTCACGCCTCGTTTCACGGAATTGTGCGAGAGAATTGCAGGAGAGCGGTAAAGGCGATGCTTGCGTTCTGTTAAATTTCGATTTTCCAATTTAAACTTCGAATCTCGAGCGTTTCGAGTAGCTTTAGACCTTTATTCATTCTCATTACGAATTCGTACGGCCGGGAGATTTGAGTTTGATTTTCCAATTCTCTGCCGCATAGTCATTCTAAGCTGGCGGTATCGTCAACCTTTATCGATCGAATAATTTCTCTGCGACTCGGTTGTTCGACGACGTTCCTGTTCTACCCTTTTCCGAAGTTCAAAATCGGAAACCAAAAAGGTTTTCCAATGGAACATTTTGAAATTGTAGCAAAATTCAACAGAATATCTTTTACAAGCCAGAAAAGTTCCGAAGGAAAAATAGTTTGCTGGCAACAGACAGAAAAATTGTACGGTCTAAGTAAAACTAATTTTCAAAGACGACTTCGCTATTCTGTATCCGAATTCTTCTTCGATAAACCGTTCATCCCGTCCGGAAGTAAATTGAATTTTCAACTCGTAACTTTTCACTGTAACGGCGAAGGTGTTAACAGAATCAAGTAAACTCGACGTGACGATCGTCAAAGTAAATCGAACACGACGTGCCCTCGTGTCGAGGGTAAATAATGTCGGAACGACTGTAAATTCGATAGTTCCGAGCTGTAAGTTTCATCGACAATTTCCAGTTGTGCCGTGCGACTGGAACGGCACGGGTTCGGGTTCGGGTCCGGGTCCGGTAGAGGACCGAAAGGAAACGTGAGACAAGACGAAACGGAAGCCGCGACGATCGAGCTCGCACAGGTGAATTCGTAGGTGACGTCCCGCGGGTGTAAGGGTGGCATGGGCGGGGTACAAAGGGCGGGTCGGTAAAGCAAAAACCGTGAGGCGCTCTGTAGAATTTTCAATAAGGCGGGGTCGGAAGAAGAAGATTAATGCAACGCCGCCGGAGACCTTAGGAGACGACAGCGACATGACTGTCAAAAGAACATCCCCAGAGGCGAGGTCCATTCGCTCCTGCGACTCCGCAATCCCCCTTCTTCTTTCTCTTCGCCACGCTCTTTACCCTTTTCTTCCGTTCTTTCGTTCTTCGCTTCGTCCTTGTCTCTTCGTTAGACACCCCTTTTCGATCAACTTTCTCCCTTTTCATTATTACATTTCCGGTTGTCTTCTCCTTAAACCCTTTTCCCATTTTCACGTGCTTCTACTGTGTCTAAATAAATTTAGAATAAATTTACAAAAACTTCCGAATATTATTGAATATTTATCTTCAAAATAAACAACAAAGTATATGTTACAAAAATAAAATTGTTTCTTGGTAAAATTTTCAACAGCAATTTCGTGGTGTTGAAAATTGTTAAACATTCATCCCTTCTATCGTTCCAAACACATCTCATTTTCTCCCCCCTTCCCAGTGGTCGTCTTCATTCCACCCTCTATTACAACTCTATTTCTCTTAGCAGCCTGGTCGGTTCAGTTTTCACCCTCTCTGTTATTTCCCTTTGTCGCCGACTGTCTCTTCCTTTCTACCCTCGGGGGAGGGCGGTGTCTGTTGGAGAGAAGTGCATACGCGTGCAGGTGCAGCCGCCTCGGGGCAGCCGAGCGAGACGATTCGTCGTCGGAGAGGGAAAAAGTCTTGGTATTCTGCGGGTCCCGGTCGTACGTCGCGACGCGACGTTCAAAGCGATCGCCAGCCGCGACAACTGCAACCCCCTAACCTCGGGGGGTGAACGTCGGCTGGCCGGGACAAACCGCAATGCCTGCTCGCCGTTCGATCAATCACACGCGTCGACGGATGCACGCGTTCGTTGCGTACACGTTCGAATCCGCTCGCTTGAAACAGTGGCCCGTTTAACCCCTCGCACGACGAACCGCTCGTTAGGGTTGAAAGTTTCGTGATCGAGGGAGCTGATGATGATCCCGTCGCCAGGGACACAGACTAGGTGGAATTTTGTTTGTTGCCAAGGGAAGTCGAATCTTTTAGACGTTTAATGATTTGGGTTTTTCATTAAACCTGAGGCTATGAAATCAAAAGATATGTAATTATATGTACACCTGATATTCCATGTTTCTATTATAATATAATAATGTATCAAATTTCAAATTTATTTGGCTTTGCTCGTACATGGAATAGATAATTACTTCCAGGGGTTTCGAACGAGCTTCCAGCAGTAAATATTTCAGCATAATATATTCTTGTATGAAGTTTCACTTAAGTTCAAGAGACTCGTCGGGAAGGAGTTAAGTGGATAAACTAATCAATTAACCAGCTCACCCCTTTCCGCGGTCGTTTAAATTTCTTGAAACAAGCAGGCTTGAGTAAATATTTGAATCGCTTTGCTTCGATCACGTGCAAGCATTTTGATCCCACTTATTGCTGCTCATTTGCTTAGATAATCTTCTTTAAATTTTTCTATACTGTAATTCGTTTACTTTCAGTATCTCTAGTATTTTTTTACGGAATACGAAGCACCCCATATGATCACATGAAGTACTTTTACCACGATGGAAGAATCCATTCCGTCCGAGTTCTTCTAAAGACATAATCAATTAATAGGCTGGCCTATTCACGCGCGTGCAAGAAGAAAAGCAAAGGGTGAAGGTTTCTCAGGAGAAAAAACAAAGAAGAAAAAAAAACAGATAGCAGGACAGCGGGGTGAGGCTGAAAAGCGATAAAAGGGATCGCGTTGTAACAAAAGTCCAAGCGACGAGGGGTAAGACGCTCAAGTTTTTTCATCGTTATAAAGATAACCCAGCCTCGTTGGCAAAGGTGTTGTCGTAATACGCTTCGCGTGTGCACGCGCTCACGTTCGTGGAACGAGCGTGCAATAGCGTGGAAAATGACGAAGAAACCATGGATACACATACATAGTTGTAATGCTTTGGTAACAGCTATGATCTTTAATAAAAAAAAAATGCAATGTATTATATATGGCTATTAATCTAGTGATAAAGTCTCAAAACTATTTGATGCGATTTTTTTAAGAGAAGTACCACTTTATTACTTTTTATGGGCGATTTAATTTTGCAATTAAATTATAATTAACGTTTACACACCATCCTTTGCAGCTCTCTTTATCGAATTCCAAAATTTTTATTTTCTGTCATATTAGTATGTAACTTATATTTTAAGATGAAAGGAATTAGATTGGTTTCTGGAGTTGGAATATTAAATAAAATTAACTCCTTGTAATGAAAACAGATCATTATTTATTGAATTAATTTTTTAACATCATTCTTATAATTTCTACATATATAACAGCCTAAAAATGAATCACAGAGACTGGATATGCCTTTGTAACTGCGATGTGGCAACGTTAAGCTCCAGACACTGACTGCAGGGACTACAGATCCAACAAAAATAGATATGCCTTTGTTTTCAAAGGGTTTAGAATTTGTACCTTGAGAGCAAACACTATCTGCTCTCCTACTATAAAAATTTGCAATACTTTCCACTGCAACAGTCTAACGCACGTTGATGGTAACATCAAAGACTATATCCCATCACTCAATCAGTGTCTCGAGCTCAGCCTTCCTATATTACCACAATAGGAGGAATACCAAAGGGAGGTTGATCCAGTCCTTCCCTCAACACTAAATATGACGGCTTCGCCACCAAAATCGGCAGTGGGACTGTCAGGGCTGCTGGCGTTAGGAGTGGGGGCTCAGGGCGCCTTTGCACGCGGCCCGTCAAGCCGATACTGGGTGCGACCCCCGGTGTCGGCCACACTGTAGGCAGCAGGGGGAGGTCTCAATTTGGACCTCTCTCGAGATGGGCACCTGTATGCCAGGCGTGGAGGGCTCTGGAGTAATATACATAAGGTACCAGAGCCCTCCTTTAGCGCCAGTGTCGGTCGCCGTGGGGTTTTAGTCAGTAAGAATCTGACACTCCCCCGCCGCCCTCCCCCAGGGGACGGTGGGGGGTCTTATGCAAGATTTACCCACGTTAAAAAAAAAAAAAAAAAATATGTACATCCACTGATTCGAGTAAAGGTGAGTAAAGGTAAGTAGCCAAAAAATTCAAGCTTCTCGTGAGGCCGCAACAATGTTGCGAGCGCGCAATCGCGGCCTCACGTTTTGCAACATTGTTGCGCTCGAAAGATCAAGTGCATCACAAGATGCGAAGAATTCTGTGAGGCAAATGCTCGCCGGCTCCCAATAATGTTGCAAAACGTGAGGCCGGAATTACGGGTTCGCAACAAAGGTGCAATTTCGCGGGGGACTGTTTCACGTTTTGCAACAATGTTGCGGTAACACGAGACTTTACTTACCTTTGCTTACCTTTACTCGAACCAGTTTTTATAATATATTATTATATTATATTTATAATATATTTATTATAAGGGTTGTAAGGATGCAAGATGCAGGGACATAAGGGTTGCAGGGATGGAACGGACGTAGAGATGTAAGGAGTGCAAGGATATAAAGAAAACAGGGATATAAAGGATGCAAGCATTAAATAAATAACTCAGAAGTGCAATTGGGTAAATTAAATAATAACGCTGTTGCTTTTTTAAAATAATTTATTTAGAAAGGTGTATAAAGTAAATACAAGTTTGTCAAACAATTAGAATAATAATTGTTCAGTCTTGCGCTGCTTTTGACTGGTTTCTAAAAAAAAAGGAGAATCAAAGAGAGTGAAAATTGGGTGTTTTCAAATGTCAGTCTGTGGTGCGGCAAAAGAGGGAGTGGTAAAACAGGCCCGATTATCATACCGGCTATGCTCTCTGCATGCAGACCTAATGTCAACTAGGGGTGTTTGAGACCCTTAAATCATGAACCGTCGAAAACAAAGTCATGTCCAGACTTTTGTATCAGTAATCACTGATATATGTATCTCAAAGAATATAGAATCGATAAATAAAACAGAGTTCTAACTTAGCGACAATGGAGGCTCGTTCAAAGCTTCTCGCAGTATAAAACAGATGGTACAGGTAGTCCGAAGTATAGATCCTCGGACGGTGATCATGTATCTTTGCGGCGCGGGAAAAACAAGATTGAAGTTTCGAAAAAGAATAAGTTTTATGCAAATAGACGATCTTACATTCTGCATATTTAAAATCAACGAAAATTAATCAAATTATATTTGCAATTAATTTCGTTTAAAATTGGGGTACACAAAATACATACAAACGTGAAGTTACTCTTCAAGCAAAGGAGGAGGGCAATAACAATGTCCCTCTTTCTCCGCAGCATAACGAGCCGCGCATTGTTTCAACAAAATCTTGAACGGATGTGGCGTAATATTCTCAGAAGCATTCAATAATTCCTCCGTAAGCATCTCATACTCCTCTTGCTGTTTCAACTCTTCAAGTCGCATTCTCTCAATCTCCTCCGCCCTTTCCCTACGTCGTGCCTCGCCAATTTGAGTCCACTGATCCTCAAGCTCTTTGGCATAACGCAACATCTTGTTCTTTGCTTCCTCTTTAGCATGAGCAGCCAATTTCGCGTTCAATTCGATCTCCTTTTCCAATGCTTCCTTTTCTAATCGCCGTTCTTCCATTTCTCGCTCTTCCCTGTGACATTTTATCTTCAACTGCTCGTCGAGACTTCGAATCATCTCCTGAAGACTTTTCTGCCTGGCCTCTTTGGATTTTTTCTTCTCAAGGTCGCGTTTAGCCGCAGCATCCCTCGTCCACTGTTCCACTATTCGGTCCAGTTCAATGTTCCTCCTGGCTTCCTCTTTCCTCAGCTCCTCCAGGTACTGCAAATAAGACAGCAGCTCCTTGCGAAGGGCCGCGCTCGACTCTTTAATCTTGCTCCTTTCTTTGGCCAGTTCCTCTTCGGCTAAAGTCTGTCGCAACCGGTCTATTTCCGCTTCCTGGCGAGCTCGTTCAGCCAGTTGCCTCTTCGCGATCAAGATTTGATCCTGCAGCTCCTTCTTCAGCTTCTCCCTCTTCTGACGATCCTCCTCCTGCTTCTTCGCATCTTCTTCTTGTAACTTCTTCAACATCTGCTCTATGTACTCTCCGTCCTCCTTTGCTACCTCTTTCCTCTGCTCTTCGAGGGCTAGTTTACCAGCTATCTGCTTCGCCAGGGTGGTTACATTCGCCTGTTCGATCAGACAACGATTCTTCACCTCCTCGATCTCTCTTTCCTTCTTCATCTCGACTTCCTTCAGCATCAGCTCGTGCCACAGGCTGTCCAGCTCCTTCTCCGCGCGTTTCTTCGCCTCGTTGTCAGCCATCTGTGCCAGGTTAACCATCTTCGCATCGATCGAAGACTTCTTCAGCATCTTCTTTCGAAATTCCGGACACTGGTCCAGGTACTGCTGCATCCTCTTCGCGGCAACTACCGCCAGACGCTGTTCCTCCTGCTGTTTCTTCAACTGCTCGCTTCTCTCTCGCATCTCGTCCATCCTTGCATCGTCTCCGTGTTGCGCTTGATCCACCACCTCGCGGGTCAAACTCATCTGCTCCCGCAACAGCAGCTCCCGTAGCCTTTCTCGACGCTCGTCCACTTCATCCTGGTATTCCGTTAAACCTAAAGAATAATTAGACGATCAAAATCGCAGCTAAGAGGGGTTGCTGTCTTCCTACGGGGTGCTTTACGGTTCAGGGAGGGAGGATAATGTCCTCGTAACAATCTTACCCTTAATTGGACGCTTCGATGCTCGTCGTCACGCTTATTAACGGGGAAAGATGAAGATGAGGTGATATTAAGAGTACCAGTTCTGTGATTTCTCGCGTAAGGAATTTTTTATTCATAGCAAAGTATTCGAAAAAGTTATGAATTATTTTTTTGGAAAAGGATATTTCAATTCGCTATTCTCAAATGCAATTTTCACTTACTTTGGGGTCTTCGAGCACCCTTGCACGCGCCCCGAGGAGTGCGATCCTCCGTGTCGGTCACAGGGTAGACAGCAGGGAGAGGTCTCAGTTTGGACCTGAAGTGATAATCGAGAATTTAATGGAGTAATCCGCACTCCTCGGCGGTCGCGATAAGACTGTGAAGCTCTCACCTCGCACTAGGTTGATAACGGTGCCCGATCAACCGTGACGAAATATATTAAGTAAATCACTTAGGAAAGAAATTATTTCCATCAATGAATTGCTCGGAAATGAAATTCAATAAAGTACATACTAACTCAGCTACTTTTTTAAAAATTTGCATTATTTACCAAGGCGTATGGGGTGAATACAAGTTTATCAAATAATTTTAACAATTTTTGGGTCTTGCGCTGATTTTGAATAATTTCTAAAATAATAGAATCAAAGGGAATCAAAATTGTGACTCTTTGGTTGTGAGTGCGAGGTGTGGAAAAAGGAGGACCAGTAAAACAGGTGCAAAACTCACCTCGGGGTGCCTGAGACCCCAAAATCGTATAGTTTTCTATAATTCTTCGTCAATACCTTGTTGAACTCGTTGCCAGACTTTCTTTTTATGGATCTTCCTATTAGTTTCTTTTTCAAAGTCCAGAATCTTCATCAACTGCTCGTGCTCCCTCCGCTTCTCCTCCTCGTAATGCTCGAAGCTTTTTGGAACTGGCACGACCTTACAATCCGAACGTTCGTCAATTCTGTAGCCAAAGGGTGCGTTTATAGAGCCGATCACCACTTTGGGATACTTTCTTTGCTTCAGAGGGCCACATTGCACCTCGTTCAACGGAAAGAAACTCATGTTTCTTTGATTAAAGGGTTCGAAAGATCGAAATTCGACCAGAGAGGTTCGCTTTCTTGCACTTCGACAGCTCGTATGGGTGTTTACGGTTACTATGACGATCTTCGGACTTATTGAATTAATATTTCAGCCGGATGAGGGAAGGCGAAGTTAGGGGTGATTCGCAACGATGGCTTAGTTAAGCTGGGTTCACTCGAGAGTTGGTCAATGCTTTGGAACGTGACTGGAGCACGCGAAATGTATTTCAAATTGGAGAATAGGTGTTGAAAGGACCATCTCTGACATCGCAGTTACATCGTTCGAGTGTATTGATAGATTTTCAATGAATCTGAACACTTTTCTAGGATATCAAACAAAATTAAGCATCTTGGAGATATGGAAAGTATTAAAAATTGAGATTCCAATAAATAAAATACGTTTTCAATGTCTATCCTCAGGTCCTATAGACTTAAATCTTGATGATTTCTCAGCCCAGAATCGCAATAAGGAATCGCGATTCGTCTTTGGAGGAAATTTTAAAATTCACTCGCGAACAAGGATGCCGTTTGCACAGGGGAAAAGTAATTACCCATGGAAATCGTCGGATCAGAAGCAAGAGCAACGCAGTGTTAGAGGGGGATGCGAGGATGGGGTTGGAAGCGAACTCCACGGCAAAGTGCTAACATTGCACGCCGTCAGAACTTCGAGACTTCGACGGTGGCTCGTCTTTCGAGTTCATCGAGTTTACGAGACTCCGCGTAGTTCGATTACACGCCCCCGGGCATGGCTGTAACGCAATATCTATATCGAAGTAATCAAGCTCACAATATCCCCGATTTAGGCAGGAAATTTCGCAGTACTAGCATCGAGTCGAGAATTACGGTACGGCTCGGTTCCATGCTGAAACAACGCGTCGCCGTTGTGCGAAACACGTCGGAATAGGGATCGTTTGCCTTATCCTCGTGTACATGTCGATGACTATGAATTATTGAAGCCGATGTAGAACGGTTGAGTAAATATCAAAACGGACAGAAATTGTACCGTCGATGTACCAGGCTTCTGACGGAGGATTGAAATTAGTACTAATAGCAGTTTGCGCTTTCATTTTACCCTACAAAAGCTGCGCAAGATAATTTGATGGAGGAAATTGCCGAATAATTTTCAATTCAGACGGATTAAGAAAGATATTAAGATTGAAATTGAATTGACAATGTGTTTTATTGTAACATCTTTCTACATCAACTCGAACGCATAGACGTCTGTTCAGGATAATAAAAATCCCATTTTTCATCAACCACATATAATTCGAACCTCGGAATTCAGCTAAACATTCCCTCGGAAAGATCGATCGCACGATCGATAGGATCTAAGCGTGAAATTTTCTCAGCCACCCTGTGAGTCGATCAAACGATAAATCGTCGATTCGTCAGTCGACTATCGCGACAGCTTGTCGTAAATTCCGATGGATGGAGTTTCGTTTTCTCCGTTTTTCTCGCAGGTGAAAACGCGACCGATAGGACTAATCACGAGGCCGGAAGGCCGGTCGCGCCATACTAACCTGGCGTAGGGGATACCATGATCAACGAGGTGGTTCCCCCAGGCGAAAGGCCTCGCGCTGAAGCCTGTAAGTACTCCTAATGTGAGTATTTGTGCGTTTAATTTTTGGTAGTGTGGGGTTCTTGCGGGAACGCAGACCTCACGCGTAAATCGTCTAATGAAAAATCATCCATCACTTTTTCCGATCGTTCGTACAAACGAGAAACCGTAAATGTTGCTGCTTTCAGGGACTTAACACGTTCCTTTTACCGCCATGATCGAAAGAATTTCCTCGATGAATTCGAGTCGACTCCGCGTTCTTTCCATCGACGAATTGCCGATGACGATGACGTCTTCTTTAAACCCGGAGCCTTCTACGAATAGAATCCTCGTCGTCAGCTGCATATGGCGCGATCTTCGAGAAGAACGCGGGTAGAAAAAGACGGTCTTTCCGGTGAGAAAGCCAGTAGAGGACTTTTTGTCCCGGACTCGTCGCATTTGGACAAAGAAACCGGCGACGAGTGGCGGTAGAACGTGTCGTCCAACTCACCTAGTTCTGCCTAGTCGCCCAGGAGATCCTCTCTTGAGACATTGACAGTTCTTATTGTGCAGCTTAACGTACGCCCCAAGTGTTCCTCGGACAACGAGGAAAACCGGCTCGAGGGTGAGCAAGAAGCTGGGACTCGAGACATTCGAGACGCACAATACGCGTCACACTCGATCACCGGGGATCTTCGCTCGAAAATTGGGTCGAAACGGTTGAACGAAGCTTGAACAATCGTCGAGGATGATGTGGAAGAAGGCTGATGACGAATAAGTCTCGAGATAGCGGAGCTACTGTTCGTCGCGAGTCGGATACGCTTGATCGACGATGCAATAAGACGATGAACCAGGTGGCTGACCGCATCGTTATTTAACAATTCTTTGTCTTTAATTGCCACGCGTATCTGGATGCTTACAATTCATCGTTGTTGTACCATTCGAACGCTTGGATCGCACGATTCGCGACCGACTTTCTTGTACGCTTTCGTTCGCTTCCGCTTGACGTCGAGCTAACTGCGCTTGTACGCCTGATGCGATTCGTTTCGACGCTGATTTCACTCGCAGCAGTTTGAATTCCGCTTGAATTTCAGGAACGCTCGCTGACGAAGGTAGTCGAGAACGAAATGGTCCTTGAACGAAGTCATCTCATCGTGGCGCATCTTTGAATTATTCAGAATCCTTCAATAAAATTGCTAATAACTTAGCAACAAAAATTGTTTCCAACAGTTTCATTAATATCAGCAAACGATTAGCCACTTCAGAGATACGTTCGTTCATGGTCTCGCGATAATTTACAAACAGTCGATACTCCATTTCATAAAAATACCTGTCATCATTTAGAAACAAGAGCACAACTTTCTTGAACGATGCTGGATGACGATAATGATGAATGAAATTTGCGGAAGCATGATTCTGGATCATAAAGTCTGGACAGAGACGCTCGAGAAGCATACAGAGGTGTTGAAGCATAAGGTAAAATACACTAAGATTACAATGAAATGATCCTACGATATGATACAGGCTAAATGTTTCGCAGGTATGGATGAAGGTTGAACGTAGCAAAGGCACGACTCTCTTATCATGAACCGATATACCTAATCGTGCTACGATCCTCGAGTTTCAATAGATCCCTTTGACATCGATCCGTCAAACGTGGAAATCGAGGATCATAGTATGATCTATGAATCTAATTCTGCCACGATCCTCAAGGTTTAATGAGCTCAGAATTCGCTAAATACTTTTTCAAGCTCCAACAGTATGGAAATAAATACTGAGCTTCGAGGAAGTTACAGACGGAATCTTAAAGCCAAGGATCGCAACAGTGGATGAATTCTTAGGATTTAATGAAAGAAAAAAAATAAAATAAATTTAACGATCTTATGAAATTACTAAGTTAATGATCATGGCAATGAATGACGTATGTATCTAATAATTATCAAATCTCAATGGCATCACTCTTCAAATACACTGTCTTTATGGACGAATCATGAAAGATGGGACGATTAATCTTAACCATCGCCCAGATATAATTATTTGTTTCTATCACTTCTCCTTAATGATATCTAAGAAAAAAGAACGAATGCAATAAAAGCTAAATGTTATTTTTTGATCACGTTTCTGCATCTTTCAAATATACCGTTAATAAAAATTTCCTTACAGATTAGGAGTCACGACAGAATAATAGAAGCGTAGTTTTAAAATACTTATCAATTACGGGTCCACGTGGACCCAGGCGTCCATCAGGTTGCCGAAAACTTCGGTATTACTATTTACAACTGAAATAAAGAAAGAAAAAGGGATGAAGGATCGTAGCAGAAGATTGTTTTCGTCACCGGTGGTCAGATTCTCCTAGCTAAATCGCGCTTCTGATGCTCGTATACGTGTCGGAGCATAGAAGTAAACTTAACGAGACGTTAAATCGAACGAGATACGAGAAACGCGGAGGAAATGTCCTGGCGGGTCTCGTTTCTTCGTGGTACGAGCGAGAATGATACGAAGCGTTATCGATCGAACGCTGCGTTTTCCATGGTGGAACGCTAAGGTGTGGAGCTGGGACCGGTAGCTGCGGAAGGCATGCTCGTCGACGCTGGACCGGAAGTAGGCATCGTCGGTGGCGCGTACGGGCTTCCACAAAGCTGGTCCGCGATTCGTCCACCCTCTCGAAGGCCGCTCAGGAAAGCACCGTGCACGGTCGCTGGATAATTTCTTATGGTGTGCTCGCCTGAAAGCACAGAAATTGTTTCGCGGTTGCGTTACACACTCACCACCACGACCAGCGGAATGGACAAGGATTCGACCATGTATATTCGCAAAAACAGTACTAACTCTGCAGCGTAAGTTAAATAAAATGAATACTCTTTTATTAAACGTTGCGCACAGTTCGCTTGAAACAGATCCGAAATGGAAATCCAATATTTAATAACTTCTTCATAAAATATTCTATCTCTGTAGAATTTAGCGAGTTTTATTAATCCTCCGATGGCGAAACGGTATCTTTACTAATTCAACATTTGATGCAGAGTTTAAATTCGTTTCCGAAATTTTATACTACTTCTTTAGATATTTCTGCGGTATTTTTAAATTCAAAACAGATATATAATCTTTACTACTAGTTTCAGGCTGTTCTAAAAAATTGTCTCGAAAAGTTATAACCGACATTATTCCGGGCCGTTGCTAAAATTACTCCATAAACTCATTACGAAACTATTTAAATCCTCAGTGAAAAGAGCCGGTGAAATGAACAAACGCGAGAGGTTGCTTGAAAAGACACGAGTTGAAGCGTGTTCATAAAAGTTGCACGCTCGTTCTCGGTCGACGGAAGGTGGTTGACTCTGGTACCGCAAAAAGAATGAGAAGAAACGAGAGGAGGTAGTAGCTGGAAATATCGTGGCAAAATATTTACCTGCGAAGAAGACCCTCGGTTGGGGCGGCGGAACACCAGGGGAGGCTGGGGGTGCGACAGGAGCGGCGAGGAGATCGTAATCGCTACCGGAACTGCCGACCGCGACGAAACTGTACGATCCTCGTGCCCATGGATCCGCTCTCCATCTTGTCACCACGCTTTCGCGAGGCTGAGGGACCACTTGGTTGCCGAAAATACCCTGAAAAATCACACGAGTTAGCTGGTAAAAACATGAAACACATCGGAAACATAGTGCTTTCAGGATCTGTTTAAAATAATTTTAAAAATAATTTTCCGTTTCACTGATCGAAAATTATTCAAGGTAAAAACGTTTGATTAGATTTACCTTTAAGACGGCGATGCAACGACCAACGATCACGTCGTCGCTAACGTTCTCCATCACGCAAGCAGCTTCGCCGGCAACCAAGGCCAAGAGGACGGGAGCCTTGTAGAGGTTCCAGAAGAGGAAAAGCTCACCACGAGACGCGGTCGTGCTTCCCACGTGGCCGAACAGATTAGCGGTCGGGTCCCAGAAGATTCGTTCGAAGCACAGCACCACCTGACGTGACGGATTTACCGGCGTTACTTCCTTCCATCTCGAGCTCTCGTCGTAAAGATCGAGTAACGAGCTTTTCGATGCGTCGCGTCGGAGATTTGTTATATATGAAATTTTAACGCGTCGGATGGATTTGAAATTGCTAACGAAGTATTGAGAATTTTTCAAACACCTGTTTCCTCTTCAAATTTCAGAATCGAATAATTTCGCTTCTATACGATAAATTTCAAGACTCGGCAATTGCTAGAATAGGATGTAAATTTCTGTAAATTAGCTCCTTTCAGAGCATGAAATCTAGGAAGCTTGAATGCTCGTGGATTTCTTTGGAAAAATATCGCACTCCCGTCCGTTACAGTAAATCCTCCGGTTTAAGAATTACTCACGTAGACTGTTTCGTCGCGTAAATCTCGCGCAACGATGAGCATCGTTTCCTTAATACTCGTGGATACGAGAGGAAATTATACAGCGCCGGAATACTCATAGACTCCTTAAAAACGCACAGAAAATTGAAAGAACAATTTATCT